ATTGGCATTATCTTAATTCTATTAATATACAAGTACAGTAGAGTGTCGTTTATCGGATAAAATTTCAGTCGGCAAATTTAAATTTTCGCTAGAGCTGTGGGGCTGCAATCTTTGGCTATATCTTGGGCTACTTCAATATTTTTTATGTTTGTGTATGTGTTTTAGCTGGCAGCACTGTCACTTATGTGTGGTGTTTTTCTGAGCACTGTGTGTCATGCTGAATCGAACGTTTTTGATACTATATCAACTTCTAAAGTATAACATTTTTTGTTTTTATATTTTTCAATATATTTATTTTGTTTGTAAAAAATATAAAAATAATTTTTAACAATATAATAGCCANACATTCGGCCGCCGAATATTCGGCGCTTCGGCCAAGAGCGTAGCCGAATGTTCGGTATTCGGTATTCGGCAAAATCACTATTCGTGGCATCACTAGTTTTTATTTGTGGGCAAAAAGTAACCATTGTGAAGAATAAGATAATTACATTATAGCCAATCTTACCCGTTTTCATAAAATGCAAGAATTAGGTCTCCCATTTCCAAACTAATTAGAAAATTTTTACGTCCAGTCAAACGAACTATTTTCAATTTGATAAATTTTCTGGACGTTTACAATCGTTCTATAATAGAACCAATTCGAATTTAAATTCGAAAATTTTTAAAATCGAAATAAAAAATCTTCAACTTTCAACCACTTTTAAGCTAATATCTTCCGCACTCTTATATCTATCGAGACGCAACCACCATAGTGCACGAATGAAGACTTGGGGCTGCTACCACATGCAAACAGCATTCATGTGCGATGTGTAGTTTTGGCTGAAAAGTGAAATATAAAGACACACATGTCCATTTTTATAAATATACTAGCTGCAAGGACCCGCTTTGCTGGGTTTTTAAAAAGTAACAATAGTGAAGATTAAGATAATCACATTATAACCAATCTTACCCGTTTTTACAGAATGCAGAAATTAGGTCCCTCGTTTCCAGACTAATTAGAGACCTGGTCCCGATTCTATTTCTGAACGTCTCCTGTTCACGTCCAATCAAACGAACTATTTTCAACGTTTCTGGAACGTTTACAATCGTTCTATAATCGAACCAATATTCGAATGTTTTGTTCGAATTTAATTCGAACAAAACATTCTCTATAAAATGATTAAAAAATACCAATGAAAGAAATTAAATTATTTCCGGTTAAATATCAGTCTTTTACAAGTTATTCGCTTTATAATAACGGGATTATAAGCGAAGAAGCGCGCGCCGTAGCTGCAGCTATGTTTAGTAACAGCGACTGGCGGGAAATTTGAAAATTGAAATCCGAGATCACGCGCGCCATAGTGCCGATTCGGCACCAATAATTAAATAAAAATATTTATTTAAACAAAAACTGAATTGCNAAATTTAAATTTTCGCTAGAGCTGTGGGGCTGCAATCTTTGGCTATATCTTGGGCTACTTCAATATTTTTTATGTTTGTGTATGTGTTTTAGCTGGCAGCACTGTCACTTATGTGTGGTGTTTTTCTGAGCACTGTGTGTCATGCTGAATCGAACGTTTTTGATACTATATCAACTTCTAAAGTATAACATTTTTTGTTTTTATATTTTTCAATATATTTATTTTGTTTGTAAAAAATATAAAAATAATTTTTAACAATATAATAGCCACGATTATTATTTTAAATAGTTAACATTAGGCTTAACATCGACGAAAATTCAACGCGAAGCGACACGCAACGGAGGAAAATTTCAACATGGGATAAGTTAATATATTTTATCTATAATCGGTTATCCGAAAATGAGTTATCCGAACAACCCCAGTCCCCAATTAATTCGGATAAACGACACTCTACTGTATTTCAAAGTAATACAAGAACTTGATTATTATTGCGTGATATATGAAATCTTACTTTATTTCTGTTTTTAACGATTATATAGTACTTCTTACATCTTTTAGTAAAATGAAATAAAAAGTTCGTTATTAATCAAGAAACTTTTAAAGTAATTTTATTCCGTATTGTTTGCAGGACACATACTCGGCGGATGATAAATGAATTGTTTTGCATTCATTTAAAATATGCATTTAAAGCAGTTTGATATTAAACAATAGACTCTCCGCAAAACACAATTGAATAAAAAAAAAATCGATATCTGTTAATCAAGTTGCGTGCGTGCGCTACTATTATAAATTATTATTATTTATGGTAATATTGAATATTTCTGTTTATATTAATTTTTACATAAATCTCTACTCTATTCCGGTTGTTTGCTTTATAAATTGAAGGCACTAAGAAACAGTAAATGTTGTCTTTTTAGTAGAGGTAGAGGAAATCACAACAGGAAACATCGTATTGGCTTTCGAATAGGCGTTACACGCGAATAGAAAACAAAACTGTAATATGAATATGAGTGTAAATGAGATATTGAAGAAGTGCGCTGTGTTCGGTTATTCGCAGGCAACACAGTTCTTGTTCGATTCTGTAGTCTTCATGTTCATACTATGTCATCAGGTTGAATTTCTTCTTTCTCTTGTATCAACTAATTTCAAATACTTTGAACACGAATAGTTTCGTAAGTATTAAAATTTCTTATCGCTAAAATAAACTAAATCAATAATTTAGTAAAATTATTTATTTATTTCAATTATAGAAACTGCGACATCCATCTAAAGAATAATGGGGATTTATGCCCGAAACGTGCTGTTGTCACGTATCAACTAAAATGATGAAAATAAAGCCAAGTGTTTATTTATAACTCAAATGTGAGTTCAAAAGTCCAATATATTCGCAAAACACGGTGTCGAAACAACCTAGATTTAAATTTAATGAATTTTATTACATTGAGTCTTTTGAACCGCCTCAATCCCGAATCCCACTGCTTACGAACGTGACCGCTGTCGCTATTGCGATTTCTCAGGTTCTAGAGACATAGTAGTGTCATTTTGACGTGGCACATGACGTGGTGTCGATTCTGCAATCACACTTGAAACAGTTAATATGAAATTTAATAAGTTTTATTAAATATTAAAATTTACATTCAATCGTGAAAATTCCACGTACAATTTTAACTGTTAAAGTAATTATAATTCCGATCTGAACATATATCGACTGCAAGCTGTGTTTCATANAAAATACAATGTAACGTTGAATGTAATATTTTTATACTTTAATAAATTAGCATATAACGAAATTATTAGAAATAATTATATAAAATTCTTTTAACAGTAAACTAAGCTGGTTATGCCGTTTATAAGACCTCACTTACTTGTTGCTGCAGTACCTATTGTTACTTTTGGAACTTTTTTCACTACGTAAGTACAATTTGATACGGAGCTACAAGGTTTTTTTTTAACTAATAAATCGTACATTTTACTTATATTTATAATTAAGAAACAAATACAGCAAAACTCCGCTTAACGCTGATTCGTTATAACGCGGTCTGCTCGAAGCCTAAAACAAAGCTCAAAATTTACGCCGATTTAATTTATCGCGGCATTTCATCTATTCGTATATAATACGATTATTTGCAAACACGAACCAATCAGATAAAGGTGGTAAAATGTACTTTGGTTAAATCTATGTTAGTTTAATGCAAATTTGGAAAAAATATCACAATATGGATTCCATAGGAAATATCGACTTGGCTTGGCAAGAATTAACTGGTAAACGCACGAACGAAGTGTGGAAGAAGTTATGGCTGAATGTATCCAAGAATTCTCAACGAGAAGAGCCCATCTCTGTATCGTTAGGTCGACCAAATTGTCAACCTAATCGATAAAGCTGAACTAGGAGATGTAGACAAGAAGAATGTTGAGGAGATACCGCAAGTTTCTGGTTAAAGAATTACCAACGACGAAATTCAAGAACTGGCAAAACAACAAATCCGTGTAGAAGAACTGGAAAATAATGATAATGAAAACGAAAAATCCAAAAAATTTCTCTACGGATTTCCTTTTTAAAAATTTGAAAACAATAACTGAAATCGTTGATCAAATTGTAGCGAATGATCCAGATTTTGAAAGAAGTGAAAAAGCAAAACGAAGCGTTTTGAATGTGATCTTCCGCTACCGACATTTGCTTAAGGATAGAAAGAAAATAGACAGATGAAACTTTACGACTTCATTGCAAAGAACAAGAATTTCAGAAAAGTCAGGACCTTCCTCACAAAAATGAATTTTATATTTTTGTATGTTTATATGCTATTTAACATATGCAAATCAATATAAAAATAACTTAAAATCAAAGAAAAATTTGTTTATTTTTTATCGCGTCTCCCCTATCCGTATTTACCCTGTCGTCTAGGAATGCACCCCCGCGTTAACAAGGTCTTACTGTAATAGAAAATTCAAATTATTTTATATACCAGTTACATAATCGGAAATTTATTATATCCGCCTATATGCAACCCCTGTAATTTTTCACGAATAGTGCAAATCGATTTTTCATTTTTCATCACGCGTACAGGCTGACGCGATTGCGTTGCAGATCAACGGCTCATGAGAAAAGAATACTTGTAATGTGCTGTTTTGCCATTATACAATACAGAGAAACCGTTAGCCGACCAATAATATGTGAGTTTTTTTCTTCATAATCCATTATTTTTTCTGTTTCATATAATTGGCCACTCCATTAATTACGTTAATCTTATTAATCACTGGAGCATTTGGTAGAAGACGTTTAGCAATAAAAATAGGCGTGTTGTGGCACCACCATCGTCAAACATGCGACAATTCCTTGTTTTTAAAACTTTATTATATTTCGGCTATTTATTTATCAAATTTTAAAATTTTACTGGTTATTGTCTAACAGTTTCAGTCATCATTGCTTCTTATCTTTATCTATAGGTTAGAGATAAAACTTCCGAAGATGGTTATAAACTTCGGGAGTTTAAGCACACCGATAAACGCCTGTAGTAACTAATCGATTAAGTGATGTAAGGCGATAAAATTACAATCTGGTAGTCAATTATTGAACTTTTTAAATGTTATTACTATTTACAGATTAGGTATAGCGATTCACCTGAATCACGTACGATCTTCTGTGCCATACATAAGTGACACAGGGACTACTCCTCCAGAATATACTCTTTTCGGACAAATGCTTAATATCACGAGCATTTTCAGTAAGTACTAATACACTTATATACTTTCTATTTTGTATGTACTAATTACTTTATTCCTTTACAGACTGGCTACTATTCTATATACGATACCTGCACTTGATTGAAATTTTTGAAAAGTATTCGAATATACAAAACTTGGATGAAATTAAAAAACTGAACCATCAATCATTTCTCTTATAGTTTCCCATTGCACTAGGAATGTCGATGGTAGCAAATTTTCAGGTAAATTAATTTATTATATGTTCTAAATAAGTATCTAAAAATATATGTGATTCGATTAATTCAGTTTCTATATATTTTAACATTAGTTTTTTTGCACAGGAAACTGTTCTTCTTCCGATTCATATGCTAGGTGCAAATTTATGGTTCGCATCAGCACTCGTTTATACGAGCATTCAAACAAAAATCAGTTACAGAATGGTTCCGGATTTTTGCTCTTCGCAAATGGCTCGTTTCAGACTTTACTTATCTGTTTTAGTGAATGTGACAGGAATTTCTAGTATCCTTTTTAAACATTTGAATTAATTTTTATATGAATACAAATTTATAAAGTAATTTAAATAGAAGGTAACATTGCTGATTCAATTTCACATGAGGAAAGTGAAGTAAAGTATTTAAGGCTGTCTTGCGGTTGAAATTAGCAAAAAGATAAACTGATACTTAATTTACTGCGTAATCAATAACTTCCACTTTCACTTCACTTTGTACAGATATTTAACAGTCAAAATGTAAGCTAATTTTGTATCGTAACATTTCGATTCTTGCCAAAGATATTTCTGTATAACACATTAATATCAAAATTCTCCACCTTTAGCACGTTTGGCACTGCAAAGAAAAAACTAATAGTGGGCCAATCCGATCCACATCTACACAATTTATTTTGACAGTACGCTTGTTTCATCTGTCAACTGTGTTAGTCGAATTTATATAACTGGAGCCTAGATCTATGCATTAAATTGTGAGGTCGCCGAATGACAGATAAACAAATAATAAAATTTATCAAATATCGTGTGACTGGAAGTGAAGAAGACAGCTGCAGTTACAAAGGCTGTTTATTTAGGCTAAATATTAAATTCTATAGTGTGTCTTGTTAGAGCTGGAGTGTAGTCTATGGCAGGGGTGGCCAAGCTCCTTGATAGTCCGAGCCATTTTTCAAAATTAGAAATTTTTTCGCGAGCCGCAATTAAAGGTATGCAAAAAATTCCAGATTACAAAATATATCCGTAGCAAGAGTGATACAAATTGTTTCCTCCAGAGCACAATGTCAACTGTCCATTGCAATGACAGTTTACAAATTCAAATTCGGTCTGGAGTCGGTCGATAACAGACGATTACGCCACTGTTTATGTTCGTTCGCGCAGTTTTCGATGAGTCATATCATTCTTCACTTGGACGGAAATGAAATTTGTTACAACGTTGCACTTAATCTTTCATATTTGTTGTTAGTAATTTAAAAGACATTTTGAAACACATACGGACGATAATAATTTTTTTAAAATATAATAACACAAAAATAAAAAGGGAACTCGGGTACCTTTATCGAGAGCCACAAATAATCCTTCGAAGAGCCGTATGTGGCTCGCGTGCCGCAGGTTGGCCACCCCTGGTCTATGGCCTTGGGGCGGTAATTCGAAATAAGTCTATAGGTGTCTCCTGAGAAAGCGTTCAGAATCAAAACAGTTCAATGCAGTATGATAAAGTTAGGATGAAAAAACCGTATTTAGAACAATGAAGACCAGACAAATAAGTCACAACTGGAGACAAACGAAAGTTCGTCCCTGTTCTTGAGATCTAGGTCTTTAAAAGATTTCATACCTGGATTTCTAGCTTTCCTACTGGTCGGTTTTCTGTATTCAGGAAGATAACAGACAATTTCAGGCTACTAAGGGTCAAATTCGACACCGCGTTTTATTCGATCAGAAGAAATTAATCGCGCTTTGAAACTCCTGCTCGTATTTAACTATTGTTTCGAATTCTTGTAAGTCTGACACAGAACCTCTGCTTAATATCCCTCCGCAAGATTATACAGAAACATTTTTTTTTCGCTTCACTAATAAATTTATTATTTCCGATTTTTTGTAAGTTTTTTTGCAGTTTTTATGAGCGTTAGAATCAAAGCTCGAACCCTTGATTTTACACTTTTATTAAAATTTTAACACGTGAGCTCCAGTGTCAGACAGCACTCACAAATATACAGATGCTCATTTGAGTAATCAACGAAGCATTCGAATGGTTTAGTTTCAGAACATCATCTGATGCCGATCTCGATAAAATTATTTATTTAAATCTGCTCCTTGATATTATATAGCTGGTATTATCTTTCTGGTATTATCACTTTATTTGTTTGATAGACCTCTTAAAGATATTCCTCTATGGACCTCGGATGATAAAGTAAGACAAACCTTTTCTTTCATAATAAGTTTGAAATTATATTAAAATTTCATATACTTTTTAGGGATATGACTACCATATCGCCAGTACAACATCAGAATGGATTTTTGTGTCAGGTGTTAATATTTATACTCTTACTTTTTATAAAGATTTCCAAACTATAATTCTTATTCTTCCGACGGTAAGACTCACAATTTCCTATTGTTAATTATATATCAATTATTATTTTTCTTAAATTATTAACAAATTAACTTTGCATCATTATTTTATATATGTTAAAAGTTCTGATTTAGTATAGGGAATAAACACCTGATATTAAGTAAGTACAAAAACTGTTGCGAAATTAAAACAAACACTTAGGGGAGATCGGGGCAACTTCGGCATGCGGGGCAAGTTTGTCAAGCGCTCTTTTTTAAAAACAAATTAAAAGGAGACTTTGGTTATAGGTTAGGCAGTTGAGTTTTATTGGTGGCNACTTATATCAGGTTTTATAAGAGAATTTTACGTATTTCAATTTTTTTTAAAGACGACTGGTAAAAAATGTATACACCCGCATCAAACGTTGCACAAGTCGAGTGCATTGTCCTTGCCTAGGTGTCATTTCATTATATATTTCATGAAAAATAAAGGTATCAGGAAACATCTGGTAAGGTAAAACATTCGAAAAAACACTTTCGAGTGCTCTTGCTGTATGACTTCAAAAATCGTTAAAATGCAACAAAGCCTCACATTTTCATCTGCGTGACATTTGGCAAAGACACAGGTTATGATTGGTTCAAAAATTTAAAGATAAAGGTTTCTCTCTTAAAGGTTTCTCTCCATTTAGTCAGTGATAATGACATTCTGCTGCAACTGATAGAAGATAATGTACGGTTGACCTCCCGAAAATTACAAAAAAAGAAAAAAAATTCAGTTTTTCCGCAAGCTTAAAAATTGATAATATCCGATGTTCACCACAAAGATGAGCTTATTGAAGTTGGCAATCTGGACAAGAAGGTTCTGCTTCATCTATCTTACAGTCCAGATATGACGTCAACTGCTTACCATTTATTTCCCATTTACATTACATTACAGAGCCATATTTAAAACACAGTTATGAGCTACCAAGCTTTCTTAAAAGTTATTTTAACGTGACAGGACTGAAAGTTTGCAGCAAAGGTGGAGAGATGTAATTGATATATGTGGTAACACTCACAAAACTGACTTGTAATAGTGTTTCAGTTAACTGTCAGTAAACATTTTTTTTTTCAAAATGCCTAAATTTTACTTTTACAACCTGGTATAATTAAACATTTCAATCCTAGTACAATTATTTAATTTAGAAATTATTGGGGATTTTCGCGATCATAAATTCATTGTTTTTGTTTAGTTATTAGTTTATTCAATCAGTGGTTCATGCACCAGTCTCAAAACTTTTATAGTCGATTTTATTTGTAAATTTTAAATTATTTTTGAAAATATTTTAATATTTTTTTTTATCTTTCTTATTTTATTATATTATTTTTTAAATTTTATTTCTAAGTATTTATTAAATCAATATTTTGCGCAGATCAGAATAATATTACGTGATTCTATTCAGGAATGTTAATATTTCAAATTTTTAAAATTTTTTTATAAACTCTAAAACACTTTAACTGGTGTTTAGATGATATTTCGAAATATAGAATCTATAACTGTGATTGTCTGAAGGACGTGTATTTGAATAAATTGTAAATATATAACTAAAGAGGGGTTTAAACCCATAATGAATTCGAAAATGATAAAGTGATTAATTTTGCTACTCGCTTTTAAACTCGTATCCTATATGATAAGCCACAGAATTGTTTAGTTTGAAATTTAAGAAGTATAAGAAAATAAGTAATTTTATTTATACAATTCAAAACTGTAATTTATTGAAGGCAAATTGCGTATTTAGCAATTTTAAAAAAACATTATCACACTGCACATGAGAAGCGTTATAGATTAATTATGTTAACATTGAAAGAGACTATTCATTGTGTTCAGGTTCACCTATCAAAGATCTACTACATTGAATAGTAACCTCTTCCTCTCTAAGCTACCTGTATAAAATAAGTAGGCTATCTTATACAAATAAAGATTTGCTGCATGGACGTCCAACGCTTCACAGTTTCGCTACTCGATCTTTCTACTACGAAAATCTTTGCCACATATTTTAAAATGTTACTATACCAGACGTGATTGCATTTGAGCTGCTTAATATTTCTATTAGATATTAGGAATTAAAAGAATAATTTACTTTTTATTAATTTCTTATACATTTTACCATAATCTGCTTCCACAAATTAAATGAGAAGGATTACACAATTCAAAAGTGTTGAAATATTACTGCAGCTTTCTATATACGGACGATA